TGAAGCTAAAATTGGACTTTTTAAAATCTTTTAAACCAACAAGTGCTTAAACATATCAATCGTGTTTTGGATTCTCTCCCTCTCGCTCACACATGAACACACATATGTCCAAATACTATGTGACAGGGTCAAACACCAGGAGCATGAAAAGGGTGCAAAAATCCTGCAGCGAAGTTACTTGGGGGGCTCTTTGTGGGAAGTCTCTTGCCCACCTCTCACAGGCCCTCCTCGTAGGTCATCCGCTCCGCATCAGCTGAAGCTTCGAAGCCATCGTTAAGGGCAGCCACAAAAGGCCATTATAGCAGTTTTCCTGGGTCTGGTCAGGCCTGGATGACTCTATGAAGGTCCCCTTGGAGTAGGTGGTACAAGAGCTTTCTCTGCTATCGCACAGCTCCTTTTCGTAGATCTAACTGCAGCTCATTCTCTCTTTTCTCCTCTCTACAAGGCCTTTCTGCCCCTGCTGAAGAAGGCAGCCGAGAATAGTCCAAATCAAGGCCTGAGCAGCAGCAAGGCGGCTATTATCAATATATCCAGCATTACGGGATCGATTGAATGTATGGCTTATTGGGACGAACTGAAGATAATTGGATGCCGCTGTAGTAAGGTACCTAATGTATTTTCTCTTTGAAACCTCCTGTGGAGTCTGCACATAGTGGAAGCTCCTTTTCCATTCATGAGTGTCTCTGTCCATGCCTGCATGTCCCTAAACGTGCATTTCTAACCAATTGCTGAGATGCAACACTGTTTGGAAGCTGTAAGAGCAATGATGCTTTACTGCAGTCATCTTTGCTCTTCTGCAGACAGTGTTGCCCAGATTTTGAACGGGTGCAGAGTTCTTGTGCGAAAGGGCTCTCTCTCTTGCACTCTTGAGATCTTCCCCACAAGAACTCTGTGTCCAAATTCAAATGGGTTCCTTCTGAAAAGAGATTTCGTTTACCACTAGAAAAGATTTACCTCAAACGTAAGGACTGAAATTAAGAAAAGAATGGGTTGTTTTTATACTTTTCTGTGGTACAGAAATGATGACCATTTTCATTTATTGGATAAAAGTCAAAAAGTCATAGTGAAAGCATAAACAGAACAGCATCAGTGGGAACAGTTGCATTTGGGGAGATCCATGCTAAGCTGAGAAAATGCTTCTTATTTGCAAAAACCAGCTCTTTGATGGGAATTTGTTTCGGCAGCCCAGACAGCTTATTAAACGGACCCTGACACACATTTTCACTTGCATGCAATTGCAGAATAAATGCATGTGGTTGCCTTCCTCCCCCTTTGTGTCCTCAAGGAGGTCTTTAGTTCAGTTCTGGTGGGCCTCATACACCTTTCTAGCTCCATACGACAATGAATGCCCAAGATACTGTTGTGCACAATTTATCTCCCCCTTCCCCTCCCTCTCCCTCTCCCTCTCCCTCTCCCTCTCCCTCTCCAATGGATGCATTTCCTTATAGTTCTTTTTTTCACCCATGTAGGCCGCTTTAAACATGCTCACCAAGTGCCAGTCGCTCGAGTATCCAGCTAGTGGGATTCTGACTGTCTCCATCCATCCTGGCTCAGTCGAAAATCCTCGCAACCCAGTTGTAAGTTTTTTGATGGGGGAAGAGGCCTGGGGCGTTCATGCATATTCAGATATCTATGTGCACACACTCCAAGACAAATGAATTACCTACTAATCAGTCTCCAAAAGTTTTAGTATCCTGATAATTTGGGTTTTGAGTATTTTATTTAATCAAATAATAAAAATACGCTAGTGCAAATATAGACGTATTTTTATCTTCATTTATTTTATTATTTATTTATTAGTCACTTTTAAGTGAGATGGGCAGCTATCCAAAAACGATAAATAAATAAATAAGTAATAAAGATATCAAATACTTCTGTTAAAGTTGCGCTGTAGTTTGAATTAAGGCTTTGAATTATGTGTAAAGGGAAGGAAGGAATCGAAATTTTAACTGAACAAACTGCACAATATTCCCCACCAAAGCTTCATTTCGATGTCCTCTTAGAAGGAAATCTACTAAATCTCACCTTCCCCTCTTGGAATCGCTTCCAGTTTGAGCTATCGCTGATTCTCCCTACGTGCAGAACGCTGTTTCTGCAGGAAAGCATGTGCTTATATCTGGAATGACCCAGATCCAGTCCCTCCCATATTTAAGACTCCAGGCAGGGTTAACGCATTTGTTCTGGAAATCATAATGGCGGAAGATTAACATATTAAAGCAAATCATAAGAGTTCCACTTTCAAAATATTAGCGGTAACTTTGTTGATTCAGTGCTTGCACGTGCAAGGCATGCTCACCCATGGTTAACCTAATTGAATTAACCCAGATTTAAGGGTTTAGATGAAGCTTTGGACCATCATCTGATCACAAGGGCTGTGTTCATCTACCCTTATAAACTAAAACGTGATTGGCCATTTTAAATGTCATACAAATTCACGGCTAATATTAGGTCTGGGTATTCATGGTGAGGAGGCCTGACTGCTTTCTGCTGATCTGCTTAGGGGGGATTCTGGGCTGGGCAGGAGTGATTCTTTAAACCTGATGAGATCCTTCTTTGTGACAGGTGGAAATCACTGTGGAAGAGAGCGCCCAGGGTATCGTGACTGTGCTGTCCACGCTTTCCGACCAGGACAACGGGACCTTTCTGGACTGGCTGGGTCATCGAGTTCCCTGGTGATCCATCTGTCTCACCCTAATGCCATCGGCACTTAATACTGAGAGGTGATGGGGCCTTCAATAAACCACTGAGCATCATAAAAGTCCTGGTCTTGGTTTCTCCTTCTTTCAGAAAGTTTCAAAAAATCTGACGCACATTGGTACGATTGGGAAGACTGATTTGAAGGGTGGAAAAAGTCTACACATTTAGTCTTTCATATGCAGTGTGAGAGTATGAGGAAAAGACACCCCACGTGTCAAGGCTGTACATAGTAATATGTACCATAGGTCTATTAGTTTCAGGTCCTTTTTCAGAACGTATTCTTCAAAGACACGCATATAAACACACATATGCGAATACACACACACACACACACACACACAATTTAAAAAAATACATAAAGGAGAAAGAAAGAAAAAGAAAAAATAGAAAGTACAGAAAGCAAAGCAGCAAAAGAAGAAAAGAAAGATAATTAAAGAAACAAGATTCAGAAAAAGTAAGTGACTTCCGACCTTCTTTTCAACAGTTATAAACAAAGTCATTGTCCCTCCTCCCTCTTAAACATAATAAAAATGAAAAAAAATCCCTACAGCCAGTCATAA